GAAAGCTTCTAATGATGACCAAGCCCATTGATGGATTTGCCATATTTAATAGCTAGAGATAACACACCGATATAACACCAATTGGGAAAACATTACTCCTAAGCTCACTTTGGTATGTAGACTTTGCTTTAGAAGGATTGGGATTGGGAATAGTAATGGAAATGGAGCTTTAAAATTATATTTAATATGAAATAATATTTATATGGAATAATTATATTTATTTTATTTTACAATTAAATATGAATTGTGAAAAGATTATAATATCTCTTAAAATAAACAAATAAAAAACTCTCCTTCTCCCCTAAACAATGACCGCGACAGTGCAACTCACTCCACTGCTCATCTGCATTGTCTTCTTCCTCTTCTTTCTTCTTCACGTGGCTCTTCCACTTCTGTTTAAACTAGAGTCAGAGTCTTCCATGGAGAGAGGCTCATCTGTCGTCTTCAGTGCTGCGCCTTCCAACTAGAAAGGATAGAGGAGCGATGATGAAAAACAATGATGATGATGAAGAACCTAGAAGCAAACGACGGAGACTCTGGTGGCTCGTCGCTCAACCTTACTCGGCATCATCCAATTCTGGGTAGGCTTCTGCTCGTCGCTCAGTTTTGTTTGACCTTGATCTAGATCTGCTGTTCGCTCGTCTTCATCCTCTGATTTTGCTTGTCATCGTCTGATTCCAAGTTAGCTTCTACTCGTCACTTGCCTTCATCGTCTGCTTCTGTTCTTTGTCGTCCAATTGCGCACGAGCAAGGTGGAGAAGAGAGGGTGGAAGGGCATTTTCGTCCTCAAAAAATCAATCCTAAAATTGATTTAACAATATCATAGATGGTGGTATTGAGTAATCTCATGTAAGGTGTGATTGATACTGAGACTAAATATTCATTCCAGCATACCAAATATGAAAAATTGAAATTACTCAATCCCAATGCCAGTCTCTCTCCTCTAATCCCACATACCAAACAGGGCCTTAAGGTATCAATATTTTAGTCACAGAAACTTCTAACTTGGTTTCACGCAGATGCATGCATCATCACCTAAACCAGAAAAAGGCTCGTTCTTCTGATAAGTTCCATTTCTTACTATATACAATCAAAAGTAAACAAGTGAGACTTATCCAAATGGGTGAAATAACATACAAGCAAAAGTCAAACGTGCAAATTATACCACCAACACCAAGAGAACATTGCTCAGAAAGCAATTCTGAAATGATGACAAGTCAGATTCCTGGTATTTAGACGGCTCGGTTGATGTAATAGCGCTTAGAGTTTGTTCAAAAAGTAACCCTTACTGATGCCGTGCAATTGAATCAGTCCAATTTAAAGTTGGACAGGTAATTTCTTTGATTTGGGTTTAGACTTCAGAGACCTTTCAGCATGGCATAGAGGGGAAATCCTCTCTTGCCATTTATAATTACAAATGAGATGCCGATTAGTTTAGTTTAATTATTCATGTCACAATCACAACTCAAAGACCAATAAAATTACCACGAAGGGCACACAAAATTGAAAGATTGATTTATTGGACACACAGATTTGCCGAAAATTTTAATTTTATAGCGTCACGGTTTGACTTCAATGGAAACCGCTGGCAAGGGGACTGTCTCTTACCCAGGGCACCAAGGTCTTCAGGGATTGCTAAAACGGAAGCAACCAAATTTAATCGTTGACCAGGATGGATTAATTAATAAATAAATAAAAAAAGAAAGTGATGAATAGACACGTTACTTTCTTAAAGCCCAGCTCTCCCGAGTTCCAAGCAGACCAGAAAGAACATCAAGCAGCATGGACCAGGTTGGCAGGACTGCACATTATGACTCAGGAAGTGAGGTGTCAAGAAAGCGACGTAGAAGATGAGCTTCTTCCTGCTTACAATAAGATCAATGGTCCTGATCTACTAGAGGCTTTTTAGAGGTGAAGTAGAAGTCAGAAATTTTAATTGGTTCAACCGTTATATTAAAATTCACTATCATAATTTTTTGTACTAGATTTCAAAAGATAAAGAAGAATAAAATACAAAAAAATAGTAATTGTTCGCATTAAGAAATTAGTCTAATAGATCTATTTTAATGTTTATGATATGCTGTTAAGCAAGCGCCTCATAGGGTCATGCCAATTACCAAATGGAGTGCAAGTCAGCAAGTGCAGCCGTGCAAGTCTCGAGAAGCGAGGCATCAGGAAAATCACGTGGGTCGTGAAATGTAAACCGCTTCCGTCAGGAACAATAATTTTCATCTTTGAATGTATAGTTATACTTTCATTGATCAATTGTCAGGGAACAACAACCCCCCTCCCAAAAAAAAAAAACAAATCCCATAGATTTTTTATCATATAGAAAATTAAAATAATAATGTTTAAATAGTTTTTATGGAAAAAATAAAATAGTTTGTTCTAAAAATTTGGGATATAAATTTTCTGTTTTAAATAAATGAATAACATGTAAATTTAGAAAAACGTTAAAAGATAAAATAACCTGACAAAGCTCTTTAAAAATAATCTTATACAAATTTTCTAAGTTTATAATTTATTGTAATTTATTTTTTTGGTATAACCATTTAATATCTAATGTCGATGGCCCCAACTAATTTGAATTTAAGCACTATGAGACCCCAAAAAAGGTAGCTCTCCCAAGCATATTTTTTAATTCCTATTAGCTTAAGGATCGAATCCAAGAGCTTATAGTTAAGAGAACTCAAATTCTTTATCATCTAAACTGACTAGCACTGGTATATTATATTACCTCTATTTAAAATTATAAGATATTTTTAAAAGAATTTTTTCATCCTAAAATATAAAATACTTTGAGTAAATTAAGATTTTATTAAATGTACCAATCTTAACATTACATCATTTCTCTTTTCAATATATTAAATGATAGATATATTTAAAAGTTTATATTTCTATTTTAAAAAAAAAGTTATTAAGTGTATTTAATAAAATTTATTAGTATGTAAAATTTTATTTTAGAATATTTTATAATTTAAAATAAATGGAGTAATTTACTACAATAATAATAACAACAATAATAAATAGAACCAGAATGACCGAGAAGGCCCAATCCTTTAGATGCATGTCATTGCCAGACTTGAGCTTCAACGTGAAGTTAGTGTTAGGCTTGTTACTCTCCTTTGCTTTAAATTGAAAAACCTGGAACGTGTTTTCTTTTAATCAATATTTTTAAAATCAAACTGGATATTAAATTAAAAATCTCAACAATTCACGGTTTACATAATCCAATCGGATTGAACTACTGGTCAAACCAATAATGTAATAATTAAATTAAAAAATTATATATGTATATAATAATATAAATGTAAAAAATAAATATAAAATTACTATTTAATTTAAAAATAAAATGAAATATTTAAAATTTATCATAATTTAATAAATTACATGATATAACATAATATAAAATAATTAAAACATTGATAAAAAATAAAAGAAAAAGGAAATTTTTTTAAATAGTTTGATTTTTTAAAACTTGATCTAACTCCCAACTTGATCACAAATTTCCAATTCTTGATCCAATTGCTGGTTCAAAATAACTTAATCCAATCCAACTTTTCAAACAAGTTTTTTAGCTTGATCGAGTTAATAGCCTGGCTGATCAACGATTAGACCGTCCAGTTTGACTTAATTTTTTAATCATTGCTTTCAACTTGTCAACTAAACGTTTAAATAGGTTTTATTGTGGAAAAAAAAAGAAAATAGTTTATTCTAAAAATTTGGGATACAAAATTTCTGTTTTAAATAAATGAATACCATGTAAATTTAGAAAAACGTTGAAAGATAAAATACAGCTTTGTGCTATCCCCTATTGCATAGTCTGTCAAACCAAAATTCATGTTCGTTTCTTCAGAAATAAAAATTTCAACTCAAATCTATTTCTTATTATCCACACATCTAACTGTTAAACAAAATGGACGTGGAAACGTTTGTTTCTAAATTGAATGAAAAATTGTGATATGTCATTAAATGATATCAATGATAACAATATTATAAGTAAAGCATCAATAATTATTATCCCTTCAAACATCTTCCTAATCATCACTGTGCTCTGTTTTAATAATGATTTAACTAAAAAATTGGCATCTTTTTATTTCAAAAATAATTTCTAAATTATGGAAACAGTTCTGCAAACAAAAAGATGAAAACAAAGGACAGCTAGACAAGCAGATTAGGGATTCCTGCTGCCTTCCTTCCCAACGAGTTACTTCTGTTATTTCAAAAACAGAGCTGCCGTTCATTAGAGTTATACTTGTTTGGCTACTGATGTTCCTTTTTGCTTGTTTGGCATTACAAAAATTAATGTATCACAAACCATGTCTAAGAGGGTGATCATGTTTAATAAGACAAAAGATGATTAACATAGCTTTCATCTCTGAACAGGTCAAGAAACTAAGAGTAAGAAGAACAAACCCAACTGAGATGCGGTCAAAGAGAAGAATGATTGTCTTCCAAGTTATATCTAGTAATAAATGAATGAATGAATGAAAGCACAAGCAATTGAAAAAGAAAAATGGCTGTCTTCCAAGCCTGACCACTAAATGTAGTTAGGAGCAGAAGTAACCTTCCTTTGAGATGTAGCCACAGTTCGAAATCTCTTTGCCGCAGTCATAGGTTGTTGGATTATTTTATAGTTTGAAATGCTTGTTAAAATACACAGCGGCTTTCATTAATTTCCTGAATTAATGGCAATTTTGCCATTATCAACACATATTTGTAAAGGGGATAGTTATCTAGCAAGTTGCATGTTTATTGTTCCTTGATGATGAGAAGAGAGAAACGAACTGAAAATTCTAAAAGTTCCTCACTAAAAGCTTAATCATTTCCTATTTTTCGTTTCATCAAACTGATTACAAAATTTATTCATCCCTTTGGTTGTGAATTAAATGATTAGCTTTCAGTGAGGAAGTTCCAGGTTTTTTTTTTTTTTTGTGTTATGGCCATAGCTGTATGTGCATGAGATTTACTTATCCGGGTACACCTCTAGATAAAAGATATTTTCGTGTATCTCTTTTTCTCTTTTGCATAGTGTGCATTTGGCTGGTTTATGAAAGTTGAGCAATGAAACATCTGCCTTACATATGAAACTAAATTGCTGCACATCAATGCAGCAAGATCGCCTATTGGTGATGAGACTACAAAATCCGAAACCATTCATTCTTCTCTTGCTACCTTCCAAACTAGAAATTAGCAGAATATTGTTCGTGAGAAGTTTTTTCTTCAACCAAAATGTCTATTTGAGAGGCAAGCATCATGACAACCGGCAGGGACAACATACACTGCATGAAACAAGCAAAACCTCTATAGTTATGCACCAGCACCACTTCCAAGTCAATGTTTTTGACACCACTAGAATCAATAGTTTCGTTTCAGTTGTAGATGCCAGATGAGGCAACTGGCAGTGTAGTGACTACAATCTGATAATTGAAGTATTATCTCAGAATATGATTTTACATGTCTATCTGTCGTTTAAATGCAGCACAAACCATGCGCAATATTCTATGTCAAGGTAACAAGAAGCATGTGATGCAGATGAACCTTTAAAATGCAGCAGTAAATAGCTCAATAAGCAATTATACAATTTCAAATCGAACAGTCAAAGTATCTAGGTGTAATGAACAGCGCTGTAACAGCTGGTTCAGCTCAAAATTTTAAACCATCCAATTAAAGACTTTACCTATGTTTAGAGTCGTACGAAAGAAAGGTCTTACCTCTTGGTCTGAATCAAGTAGGCAAGGGTCCACCAAAAGAGCAATGACTATCTGAAGTAAGGAAAATCACCGCTAATACTCCAGTGATCCATAACAAGAAAGATAGGAACACGATTCGATTTTTTGCAGAAACGATTTCAGCAATGCGATCTCTCTCTTCCGGTACAGCATGTAGCTCTTGCAAGACTAGGTTAATAATCTCGTTCATGAGCTTCCTATATTGAGGCGCAGCACTGAGCGAGTTGAAAACTTCAGATTGAGCTTTTCGGAGAAATTTCTCGGCAATCTCTGCCTCCACAAAAGCAAGCGTAGGACCATCCAATTCAGAGTCACTTAAACAGCTCAACAAACCTTTTTCTGATCCTTCGGTGGTCATCTCTGATGGTGTCAGATCAGATGGAAGCAAACTATCGGAGGATTCTTGTTCAATCCAGGTCTGAGACAAATATGAAGCATTTGACAAACTTGAGAAAAGTTATTTAATCGATTCGACACTATTAATTGAGATTTACAGTGCATTTTATCTTTCTGGTAATTTACTTTCTGAATCCAAACAGTACAAGTTGCCTTACATATAATTGATTGCCAAATACTAAATAAGCGCATTACGCCGAAATTTTGGATCAAGAAGGTGGCAGAAAGCCAGAAATACAAGCAAAACAGAATAGAAACGTTACACCTCAAAAAAACGACTGATCCATTCATCTCTATATATATTCGACGAATAATCAATAAGAGACTCAAAATGTGATCTGTTTAGTGAAGTTTTTGCTGCGTATTGAAACCTATATGAGTTTTTTGAAAAAGGAAAAGAAAAAAAAAAAGCAAAGTAAATGCAACAAAGACGCCATGTCAATATCACCTCCGTAATTTCTCCATCGCCATCCGCGTGCGAGATCTCAGAGATCGGTGTAGAACTCTCTGAATCCTTAGATGCTTCAGATGCAACTTCAGAAACAGATATGAATGCCGCATTCAAGCTCTTCTTTGTGATCTGACGCACGAAAAGCAACTAAGATGTAAGAAAGCAGGTATTGAAAAGGAGGGAAAAGGTATCGGGTTCAGAAATTGTGGTATGCCTTGTTAGACTTGTTCGATGAGTCTTTCGATCGCCGATTGGCATTCTCCATGGAATTGGAACGAACAGGGAGCTTCGCGTTCTCTTTCATTACTGGCGGGAGATATTTTACGATTTCAAAAAAGGAGACTTGTATTTAAAGCATGAGGTAGGTGGGGTCGGCTTGTCTCCGCTACCTTCTTTTTCCATTTCGCTCTCCAATTCGTTAAAACACACTGTTTCACTTAAAAAAAAACTCTGAGCCGCTCGACTTCTTCAGCTTTCCAAGTGAAACTTAGTCGTGAATTGCAAGCTTGTCTCCACTGACATCTTTCTCCATTTCCCCTCAATTTAGGTGATCAGGTTTTTTTAAAGCTTCATCGAACAAGAACGAGAGACCAAAATCGAATCATTTCATGGTGTCGTCTGCATCGAGGATTGCTTTCCGTGTTGTCTTGATTGTTCTATTCTTTCTTCTTTTCTTCTATATAGGCCGCCCTCTCTACTGGAAAATCTCCTCCACCATGCACGATATATGGCAGAACAAACTTAAGGTAGGCATTGTTGGCTGATGAGATTTGTTGAGGGCAGGAAACAAAATTGAAAATACAAAAAGGACTTTGTCTTTTTTGGAATTTTGTGATCTGGCTGGATTTGAGGACATTGTGTGTAGAATAAAATATTAATATTTATTCATTGTTAATAGTTGAATAAATGCTATTGGTTTTGAGATTTGTGCAGTGAAATAAACTAGGTGAATACAAAATAAAACTTCTATGCATGCATGTACAAATCTTTTTACCTGCTCTTCAAAATTGGTGCGTGTATGTAACTTGGAAAAGGATTAGAAGATGACTCAATCTTGTTTGTTAAAAATTCTCATTGCCTCTTCAATTCTTTTATCAGAGTGCAATGATATATTTTAATTCCTTATACTCATTTTTCTTGTTAGAAGAATTGGTGTAGAGTCTTTTGTACTTTTGATATGCATCCTTTAGTTTGGCAATTATGTCTATAGTAAGTGAAATATTTTGAAACTGAATGTGACAGCCTCTTTTAAAAAATATGAAGGACAACTTCTCAGAGTTTTTCCATGTTTCAATAAGTTGTTGGTGAAATTAGCTTGGTGATTGGTGTTCTTCCATTTGCCATGTACGATTCATTTTCTTAGATATTGATTTTATCTTTGCCTCAAAATAAAGTTATTGATCTTAGAGTTTTTTATGGTCTCCACAAATTGATAATATTTTGAATATTTATTATGTCCCAAACATTTGCACTTTCCTCTCTTACTTGGGGTGGGCTTTCTCAGAACAATTTTTTTTTTTTTGGGCTATAGTAACTCTTGGCAGCATTATATATACTGTCTGATTATCTCCTTTATGATTGGCTAATATTTTTAGAACCAAAATGCACACCATTCAATTCTAAGGTTGCTTGACCTACTCAAGTGAGTCTTGTTTTACCCTTTATGTCTAGTGCTGTGAAAGCCAAAACTATATATCCTTGTTTGACATCTCATCGGTTAACCAACATGAGATATATCCATAGTTGTGATTATGGTTGATTATACTATGGTATCTCATGCAAGATTTATGCTTAATAACTACATTGATTGTGAAAACTAAGGCTTTCTTTTTTCTTTAGGATATTAATTTGATGGCAGATAATGGTAATTTATTTCATTCTTATTTTTTTTAGCATTGCTATGCTTCTTGAATTACAGAGTTGGACAAAGACGGCTAAAACTTATAATAATCTTACTGATATTGTTAGTACTATGATGATGAGTTTGCAATGCTCTTTCTGAATGCATGTTATATCATTGTGCATATGAACTTTTGCATTTCTTCTTATAAATTTTGATTATTAATAGTATTCATTTTTATTAAAAAAAGGTGTAATCACTAGTTCAAGAACTGATGATTGCAATCATGATCTTTATTCTAGCAAGTAGCAATTGTGGCATAAAGTTAGATGGGGGAAATGCATAAATAGAGACTATTCAAGATTTTATATTTGCATATTTGCATTAATATATTTTGATAGATAGTGATGATAACTTTAACTTTACACTATCAACTTTATAATTGCAGGCCAAACAAAAAGTAGCAACTGAAAACAACTAATGAGTTATGAAATCATTTACATAATCATCCTAAGAGCTACTGTTACCAAAACAAGAGCAGCTCAAGAATAGTAAATGCTATACAATCATCCCAAGAGTTAACATGACCAATAAGAGAGTAGCTCAAGGAGAGTAAATGCTATACAATCACCTTAAGAGCTACCATGACCAAAAAGAGGGCAACTCAAGTAAAGTAAATGCTACACAATCACCCCAAGTATTTCAAGCAGAAGCTATGACAAAATGAGTTGAAATGAAGCAACTGGAATGAAAAGAGTTGAATTGAATGACTTCATTTAGCATGATCTACATTCATATGTAAACTTGTATTTGTATCTCAACAATATAAATAAATATTGTATTGTACTATAAAGTGTAAAAATTTAGATTGATTTAAATAAAAGCGACTCAGTTTTTCCTTGAAACTTGATGATTTACCATTTGCAAAAGCTTAGCTAATCTGAAATGCTTCAAGTGATGTCATAGCACAATCAAGTGGTGCCTATATTCAGGAAAAGAGACAAAATGATTTAACATGCATGTTACATATTAACAAAATAGTTTGGAATATATGATTACTATCAATAAATTGATAAAAGTCATTTGACTTGGTTCAGGTGTATCTAACAATATATGATCATCTTGTATTTTAATCGATGAGGTATCTTCTTCAAGTGTATCTAACATCATTGGATCATGATGTACTTGACTTTGCTCTAGTTGGAAAAGAAATAAAGACTATTTGTCAAGCATCTTAGGAAAAAAAAAACAACCAAAGAAAGAAACAAAAAATTAATAAAATGCATACATTTGAATCTTTCTTAGAGGCAATGACTAATGATAAAGATTTCTTAGAAGCTTGTAAAGATTGTTTTAAGGCTAGAACTCTTTGTCTTTTTTGATTTGATTCCTCCACACAACTTCTAAGTCATTTTTTGCTTTTTCTACCATCTCTCTTTTTACACCCAATTACTTTACTATCACCACCATTACTTCCATTAAGACAGTTACTCTTATGATTCCCTTTACTATCCACATTGTAACATCCCAATTTAAATTTTAATAGTTAATTTGGGTTAATAGAAATTTAAAAAAAAATAATAATATTTAGAGGTAAGAAAATTAGTAGAAAATAATTATTAAATCTAATTTAGGATATAATTCTAAATTAAAAAAAAATTTAAAAAAAAATAAATAATAAATTTATTAAAAAAAATTAATTAAAAAAATATTAAATTATTATTATAATAAAAGAAGAAGAAGAAGAGAAAACGAATTTGCTTTCGGCGCCGCATGAATAGTAAATATAAAATAATAATAAAAAAAGGGGAGAGAGAGAAGAAGAAATAATAAAAAAAAATGGGTGGGACCCACTAAATTTTTATAAAAACTCACCTTCCTTCATTTCCTCATTCATTCCTGCATGCGAGCTGAGGCAGAGAGAACGCGAGTCACCGGTGTGAAATATCTAAATTTTTAAGGTAAGAGTTTTTAATAGGATATTTAGGGTGTGATTTTAAGCTTTTTAAGACTAAATAAGTGTTCTAAAAATTTTTCTTAGTCATCCTTCTTCTTTAGTTTCTGAGTTTGTAGTGGTAGAAAATTTAAGATCTAGAAGAGGGATGAATTTATGTTGAATAAATATGGTTTTTGAGGTTGTCAGTAGTATAATAAATGTTATAGAGTATAAATTTGTTAATGATCTTTGAATTTATGGTTTATGGATCAAATTCTAGACTAGATCTGAAAATATATGTTGATTTATTGAGGTTTAGATGATTATTTGGGATGAGAAATGAATTATTATGGCTATAGGATTATGATTCTAAGCTAGAGATTTAATTTTTAATTTTTGGGTATTTTAGGTACGAATTTATGAAATAAAAAGAAAATTTTGATAATAGAAATTAGTTTAGAAGTTGATTTTTAGATTATTAATGTTTATTGATAATTAAAAGAGGAGTTAAAAATTTTACTTAATAGTATTAACTATAGATTTGTATTAAGATTGAAATTAGGAATTATATTATATTTTTAATTCTATTATTAGAATTATTTTATTAGTTTCAAAAATTGAAACTAATATTTATAAATAATATGTTATTTGTAGATTGTATTACTGGTGAAGATTGTGGTGAGAGAGAAATTTTAAGGAATAATTTATTGAAAAAGCCACAAGGTAACCATGCTTTTAATTTATGATTAGTGTTACTTCATGTTAATTGGGTGATTATTGAGAAAATTATAAATTTTGTAATATTATATAATTGTGCAATATTATTATAAATTTATTTGATTATTGTGGGAGGTGTTGGGAGACTTGCTATTGTTGTCGTATTTATATGCCACGTGGTATGCCCCTATTGGAGCTCAATAGGTGGTTTGTAAGGGCTCGGGCTAATCTACCTTTGGCCGGGTAATTTAGCACCGAGTGAGGGCTACGGCTCGAGGTTAATGGAGGGATATAAGGATGGTTGTTTGTGTGTATTGTAATATTTCTTATATTTGTTGGAATTATATTATTTTTAATTCTCACTTAGTAAGCACACACTTAACTGTTTGTATACACTATCATAAATTGGCTTTGGTTACTGGGACTTTTGAGTCTCATTATGTGGTTAACAATTTTCAGGAGAAGAGCCACGAGTGACACGTGGAGGAGTCCTAGAGGCTTAGTGGTATAGATCAACTGTCTCTTTTGGGTATTTAATTTATGATTTATAATGTGTTATATTGCCAATATTAGGGCTTTTTGTTTATTGTCAATTATATGAATATATAAATGTAATCATGCCTTTCAAACTATTTCTATTTTTGGTACAATTTGGATGACTGTAATTTTAATATTTGGTTTACTTTGGATTGGTTAAAATGGCATGATTATAAGGCCAAATAACTGGCTTGTGTTGAAAATTAACTAAATTGCTTATTTTACTTGTTGGGAGTATAAGGATGGATAAATGTGATTTAGTTTACTTGTTGGG